CGAGGGTCTTCCCCTCCCAGATGGATTCTTTTGTAAAGCCAAACTGGGCCATCTTTTGCCTCAATTCTTACCTAGCCTTTAATCACTGAAAAGGCACTGCCTTAGACAAACTGAAACCTGGGAAAGGTTTCACTTGTCACTCTATCTGGGGCCACTGCCAGTTGTCTCAACCTGTGTCTTGCCACTGGACTGATGACTCTGGAGGAGACAGTGAGGCTGATGACTCTGTGCAGCTCTGCCTCACTTAAATCTAATATGTTCCCAAGTCAAGACATCACTCTGCTGATGTCATTGGTCCTCTTTGATAATGAAGTACCACTACCACCACCACCACCAAGAACAACAAACATCTGAGGGCTTCCTAGCTCATCACCACATTGGTTGCAGGATGATGAGTTTTGCAGGCCAGACAGCTTCTGAAAACCACCTCCCATGTTATAAAGAAGTTTGATATGCATTGGTTGAAGGAATGACCCTATCAATGAAATTTCTTATCCTTGAAGAAATGAAGTATTAGAAAAATGTTAATATATAAAAAATCACTGGTACCTTTTGTTCATCCTGACTTTCATGTGCAATCTCTTTCTGAAAACTGATTTGGGAATAAAAAGTTTAGAAGTCTTACAATTATCTCCTTTTTTTTTTCTTTTTAAGTTCATCTGTTGTTAAGTGTGCACCAATTGAAAAAAAGAATCTACATCACAGTCTATGTCTTGAAGGTTTCTTGTTATAAAATGAATGTTGACAATGCTCTGACTTGGTTCATGTAGATTAGATTGGTAGAGCTAGAAGGGACCTTTGTGGTCATCTTGTCCAACCCTTTACTTTATAGCTGAGGAAAGTGAAGCCCAGAGAGGTTAAATAATTTGCCCAAAGTTATACAGGTAGTAAGAGTCAGAGGTAGGATTTGAATCCTGACTTCTTGAACCCAAATTTAGCACTTTTTCCTGATGAAGAGATACTTTGGAAAAGAAAATTAAGATTTGTTTTGGTTATTGCTTAGGAAAGGATCATAGGCAATCAGCTGGAAAGGACCTTAGAAGTCAGCTAATCTCCTCCCTTCCACCCATTTTATAAATGAGATAACTTTCAGAGAAGATGAATGACTTGTTCAACATCACACAGGCAATAAGAGACAGAAGCGGGATTTGAACCTAAATACTCTGATGCCAAATCCAGCATACTTTACAACGCATCATGTTGACCATTCATTTCTTAAATTTTATGATTAGAAATTTCATTTTTTATTCAGTCAATACATTTGTATGGATTGTATATTATTTGCAAGGTGTTTATGGAAAATGTTATAATAAAATAGTTTCTTTTTTGGGAAAAGAGTGGTGACCAACTGAAGGAAGAAATGAAGAAATGCTTTAGGCTATCCAGTCATTCTCATCCACTGTCATCTCCATAATTATCTTAATTTAGCATGACACTATGGAGACATAGCAGAGATTCAACATTAAACCTCCAAACCCAAGTTTAAATTCTGCCACTAAAATTTATAATTGTCTTGTATTCTATTATTTCAAGGTACCTCAGGAGTCTAGAAGTCTGATAAATTAATCTATGCTAATGGGATAATCACAGAGGATCAGACAGCCACTCTCAGGTAACTTTTCTGGAAGCTTTTCTTGGTCACTTCGTGGGCCAAGGTAACATAAGAGATCTTTCTTGATTCTTAACTTTAATGAATAGTCACAGAGTCACAGAATCCCAGAATCGATCTCAGAGATCACCTAGTTCAACCTTTATCTGAATAAGTGCCCTTTCTACATCTGAGAATTTAAAATTTGTTTTTTCATTCATTCAGCAAATATATAAATTGCATTTTATGAAGGTAAAATCAATTATTGATTGACATGGTGGGAATTTTAGGTCATGAAAGGTGAATGTGGGAGATCTGTTGGGGCAAGGTGTCCTTTCTGTGTCCCATAAAGCACACTGTCACTCTAAGCCTCAGTTTTCTCAGTTGTAAAATGGGTATAATGCTGGTTCTACTTATCTTGTAGAGTTTGTTATAAAGAAAATTTTTTATAAGCCTTCAGGCACTACGGAAATTGTGGGATATTCCTACCTTGTAATCATTATATCAATCAAATCAAATCAATCAAATTATATCACACAACTTCCAAACAGAACTGACCTGTTTTATAATGGAGTGATAATAATGACTAGTATTAACATGGCTTTTTGAGGTTTGCAAAATGCTTTATATATGTTATCTCATTTGATATGTAGGAATAGGAAATATAAATATTAGAACTGGAGGTGACCTTAGAGATCTTCTATGGCAACCCTTTCATTTTACAGGTGAGAAAATGGTAGGCCTTGTAGAAGGAAAGTGACTTGACCATGGTGAGACATTTCACAAATGTCACAGTCAGGATCTGAATCCAGGTCTTCCTGATTATAAGGGCACTGTGTGTTCCACTGCACCACAAATGAATCATTTAGAAATACAGTATTATGTTAGAGGGTATGAGTGCTAAATTCTAAATGAATAAATTTTAACACTTTGGGAACTAAATCAGATACTTTTCATTAACAATACAGATGTTTTCCCCTCATAGTATATGATGCATATAGTAACATCTCACACTTTAAATGAAACTCCCAAGTTGAATTTTCTTTATTTCTTAGTAAATTGACTTTCATGTCAATTAACTGATTTAAATGTTGTAAGTTCAGAGAGACCAATTGTTTGAGTTAGCTGTACTAATCCGCATATATACTGAGGCTCACAGAATTAGAGTTCAGGGCTATAGGGTATTTATCTAATCCAATTCCCTTATTTTAAAATGAAAGAAAACTTTGACTCAGAAAGGTTATGATTTGTCCAAGGTTGTACAGCTAATAAGGTCCAGAGTTGAAATTTGAACACAGAACCTCTAAAAAAACCAAACAAACCTCCAAAGTCTCTGCTTTTGACATTGCCTTAACCCAGAATATAATACCTGGATAAAATTTTTAGGCCTGAGTCTCTCAAAAATAAAGGATTCAGATCACCAATCCATGTAGTTTCAAATCCCATGAGATTTCTTCAAAATTAAAATTTCTATTTCACATTGTGAAGACAGGTCCAAAGTCGAAAACTAAATATCTTCCAATCAATGTGCCAGCAGTCTAACCTTCAAGGTACTGAAATTAACTTTTCACCAGATGCCTGATCAAAACCCAGCTAACGCGGTGCTACTTGCCCTAGCAAAGATACCCGTGGGAATTAAGAAGACCAAGATCCACCGGGGATGAGTGTGCACATTTCCCCCTCTACAATTCTGCTACGAAGTGTTGGGGAGAAAATACTACAAAAACGACAGCAAGACCACAGGGGTCAAAACAGCTGAAGGGAAGTGAGGGGATACTATCGAGAGTGTGATTCTCATTTTAGGGTGTAGCCCGGAAAATCTGGGCTGCCTGAAGAAGGGCCCAGTAGACGCAGCTCCACGTTCTCCTGCATGTGTTTTTGAGACAGGTCAACAGGGCTGCGGAAAAATTCAGAATGGGAGGACATCGCTAGCACACGTTCATGCATTTATTTTTGTCCTCCACATAGTTTTCATCCAGGAAATCTAAAAGACTGGGCTGCTACGGGACAGGTGCGTGGTCCCAGGTAGACCTGGACTAGACCAAAGTGGAACTACTGGGGGCAGGCGGAGATTTCTAGCACTGAGAGAGATGGCAGTGATTTTAGCCTGGGACAAGCAGCAACTCCTCCGGCCCGAGCTTCCCCCAACCCGTCCCTCCCTTGCAGGAAATCACTGGGGTAACTGAGAGAAGCTGAAGGCAGAAGCGGATATGACAGCAGCGCTGCTCCTACAACCCAGCCTGCAGCGGGCGGGCTCAGCTCCCAGATGGAAAGTCACCACCAGCCAATCCCCAGCCCGAACACGCCTCCTGCGGTGGGCGGGTCGGAGAGATAGACTGGCGACTGCGCCCTGAGTTTGAAATGAAAAGAGGGAGGGGCCCGAGCCAGATGGACTGCGGCACTCACCAATGGGGAGAGCGAGTGGCGCCCCCGGTGGGAGTGACGGGGGAAGCAGGCCCGTCACAGCGTCACGGGGGCGGGACTCAGGGTGTCCCTTTTCCCTCCTTCTCTGCCTTCCCTCCCTCCCTCCCCCCTCGGGTGTCTGGCGAGCTAGGTTGGTCGGGCTAGAGGGAGCGGGGAGAAGGAGGAGGAGAAGAAGAGAAGGGGGGGTGGGGAGTGGGGGGTGGTTGGGGGGGCGGCGACGATCCGGAGCGGAGAGCGCGGCGGAGCGATTTAAAGAGACAGCGCGGGCGGGGGGGAGGACAAATAAACACCGGCCGCCCCCGACCCTCCCCATTCCCCTCCCCTCCCCTCCCCTCCCCCAGCCTCCCCTCCCGCCGGCCTCAATGAATTAGAGGAAGCGGGACCCGAGTGGCAGCAGCGGCAGTAGAAGCAGCAGCAGCGGCGGCAGCAGCAGCAGCGGACGCCGCCGCCTCAGCCTCAGCCAGGCTCAGCCTCGGCGGCCGCCGCGCCACCCCGCGCCGGGGCAGCGAAGCAGCGAGCGAGCGAGCGGCCGAAGGAATCCCGGGGGCGTCGCCGCCGCCGCCGCTTCGCCTGCTGCTCGGTTAAAGCCCCATCTTTGTCTGCCCCCCGCCTCCTCGCCTCCGCCTCCTCCTCCGCCTCCGCCTCCTCCGCAGCCGCGGCCGCCGCGCTTTGTTCCGAGCCGCTTTCGCCTCAGGCCGGGAGGGAGCGGGGGACCCTCCCCCGGGTCTATGTGCCCCCCGCGCCGCCCCGCGAAGCAGCAGCCTGAGCCCCGGGAGGAGGCGCCGCCGGACCAGGAGGCGGCGGCGGCGGCGGCGGCGGCGGCAGGGTCTGGGCCGCGGAGCTGAGCCGGAGCCCGAGGAGGAGGACCCGGCGCGGAGCAGCGGCGGCGGCGGCGGCGTCCCACCCCCCGGCCCCGGCCCCGGCCCGAGCCCTCGCCAGACCCGTGCCCCCCTTGCTGCCGCCGCCGCCGCCCCTGGCCCCGGCCCCGGCCCCGGCGCGGCCCCGGCGGCGGGTGCCTGGATGTGGAGTTTGTCATGAGTCCGGCCGGCTGCTCGCATGTGAACAGCTTTAAGGTGGAGAACTGGCGGCAGAACCTGCGGGTCATCTACCAGTGCTTCGTGTGGAGCGGGACCCCCGAGACCAGAAAGCGCAAGGTGGGACCCCCGGGCTGCAGGGGAGCTGCCTTCCCACCCCGGGGCGGGGGGCGACGGCTGCACGGGCTTGCATCCCCTTCCTGGGCGGGGAAGGGGAAGAGGGTGTGGGGCTGTGGGGTGGGACGGACGGAGGGAGGGGAGAGGGGAAAAGCACCTTAATCCCCCCCACCCCCACCCCTGGGCCGGGACTGCCCAGGACTGGGGGGGGGCGGGGGGAGGGAGGAAATGGAGGGGGGGGGGGGGGGGGGGGGGGGGGGGGGGGGGGGCCCCCCGCAACCCCCCCCCCCCCGTCCTCCCTGGCTGCTTGGAGCTGGGAGTGGGAGGCCTGTGCGGGGGTGAGGAAGGAGTGTGTGAGTGTGTGTGTTTTAGTGGGCGTATCTGATCTGGGGAAAGGAACCTTCTTATTTTTCTGGGGGTCCCCCACTTCTCATGGTTTGTGATTGACTTGGATGCAGGCAGCAGGGCAGAAGGGATCGCCCCTAGGCTGGGCTCTGGGTTCGTGCTGGAGGGATTCAGGGTTTCCCAGCATAAGACAACTGCAAGAAAGCGTACAGGGGAGGAGGAAGAGGAAGGAGGGGGTGGGGTATTTAAAAAAGAAAAAAAAAAAAGAAAGAGGAAGGAGATTCTAGGACACGTCTGGTTGGGGGTCTTCAGTGGATTCAGCCCAGGGAGCCGGCCACCTTCCTGACTCAGTAGGCAGCCCATCAGGGTCTAGTGTCATCAGTGATGGACTGTGGGGAGGTCACCTGGGACAAGGAAACTGAAAGAGAGAACTGGATCTGTAATTCACTGTGTGTCAACGAGTGGTGAATTATTAAGATGTAGTTACAACTGAGGCACTTAAGCAAACCGTTTCCTAGTCCAGGGTTTTGGAGAGGTCCAAATGTTGGAAGACTGCGTTTGCCCTTCGTCTTCCACTTTTTCCCCTACCCCACCCCCCATTAATATGTAAAACCGGGTACAGAGTATAAAGGGTGGGGTGTCTGCTAGAACAGTAACAGATCATGTCTAAATAAAAAGTATTTTAGAAAGGGCAGGAAGACACTGATTAGAAATAGCTCAGTTTATGCCTGACAAAGAGAAATAACATTTAATACCATCTTAGCAAGAAAGTAGATTTTTTTGAGCCTATTTATAAATTCATATCCCCATATTAGATTCTTGTAAACACATCCCATTTGTTAATTGGAATCTTATTAACTGTTTTGTAGGAAGATCAGAAAATGTGGTTATCATTACCTGCCTCTGAATAAACTGTTCTTTTTTTATTTTACTCTAAGTGATTTTGCAGATATCAGTCTGACGTTGGTGACTGAGGTGAAGAATGCATCAGCAGTGCAGGTAGCAACATTGGCTATTCAGGACAGCAGGGATGAAATGTAATATTTTACTAATCGTGGAATTTGGGTTCAGTCATTTGTCAGTGTGACTTTAAAAATCTATTCAAAATGGTGGCTGTTATAATGTGAAATGGAATATATTAAGTTGTTGCTTAACTATATTCTGATTATAACTTTTAAGGAGGTTTTTATCTTTCTTAAGTTTGTTTAAATAGCTGTAAGAACAGATGGGACACTAAAAAGGCAACCAGGAAACTTTCCTTACCCCACTCCTTGCAAGTGAGGTCATTACAAACATATTAAATGTAAATTGACAGGTTTAACTTTAAAAAAAAAACTTAAGTTTTCAGAGGCTAAAGATTGGGCAAATCACTCATTTTGTGTCTGTATAAAACACTGTAAGCTAATCTACTTTTAAACCTTGCATGTTCAGATAATATTTGCCTCTAAAATTCATTATTAAAAATATTCTAAGTTAAGGTAAAGGAGGGAAAAGCTTTACATTTTGTTACCATTTCTTTGCAACAGTTATCTGCTTTGATGGGTTGGGCTTGGGAAGAGGGTGGGGGTGGGGAGCAGGAACAATAGACATAGCACACAAACATGAATGTTAGGGAATATTGTAGTTTAGGGCAGCATTTAAATGTTTGCTTATAGTAAAACAATAATGTAAAGATGCTTGAAAGCAGCATTCTTTGTGGTATCGATTTGAGGTGAAATAGACTTTGAGGGGTGGTGTGTGTAATTTCAGGAGACTTTAAAAATGACTCTTTAATAGATTGTGTGTGTGCTTTTCTTAAAACATGTTTCAGTGTGTGAAATGAGGCATGATGGGGCCTGGTTTTCTTTAACCAGTTGAAAACTGAGTGACCCTTTTAATTTGTCTTGTCTGCAAATGTTTCTCCATGTAATTGTTTGCCTGACTAGAGGTCTAAAGACTTATTCCCTATGTTGTAGGATATCATATTTTTCCTTTCTGTTTGAATCACCAGGGATTCCCTTCTAGTCCTGATCTCCATTGTGAGTTTTTATCAGAGTGAAAGAAATTAAGATGAAACTACTGGTAACTTCTGATTTCTAGAGGAAAACATCAATGTCATCGATTTTTTAAAAATGAGACCAAAAATAGTGTTTCATGTTTTGATTCCAGTTGTTCAGTTGGTTGATATTGGGTCTTACGTGGGTTGAAATTACTAATAAGATTTTGGATTATTTCTGTGAAAAGAGAGTAGGCAATAAATGTATCTTCTGGGAGTATATGGAGCTTAACTGCCTTCTTGTAAGATGTTAACCATTACGCTTAATGTCCTTTTATCGTTCTTATCTTGGAATTTTGAATTTTCTTATCCATTTTCCTCCACTCTCTGGGTGTTGATTTCATTTCTGGCATTGTCTTGTGGCTCAGACTATGTATGAAAAACTTGATTTTTGGAAATGTTACTGGTAGAGGTTGAAAAGAACACTAGTTTTCTACGTGACTACAATGCCCATCAGTCCCATAGGCCTAGTATGTTTTTGAAACTAAAGATGTGAAGTTGCTCATCAAAATACATTTAACTAAAATTACAGTCTTTGTAAACAGTCAAAGAATACAGTACTTTGTGGTTGCTGACATCTCATGGTATGGAAGCACGATTTGACTATGGAAACGAATTGTTGGATGAGGATGAGTTCTGGTTTTTTTGTTTTTGTTTTTGTCTTATGTAGAGGTGGATAAAGATAAATTAGTTTTAAGTATTTTGAAGATTCTTTAACATAATGACAGCATTGGGACTTGGAATTTTTTATCGATAGGTTATGAGAAGAATGCCATGAAATCCTGTAACTTTTTACTACCTTAAGGAATTTCCAAATATGCAATAACTTGTGTGTGTGGGGGAAGGTTGGTGAAAGTATAGATCCCCTGATAAT